AGGCCACTGAGACCAGGAGACCAGGAGGCCAGGAGGCCACTGAGACCAGGAGGCCACTGAGACCAGGAGACCAGGAGGCCAGGAGGCCACTGAGATCAGCAGGCCACTGAGACCAGCAGGCCACCAAGACCAGGAGACCAACAGATTAGCAGACCACTGAGACCAGRAGACCAGGAGGCCACTGAGACCAGGAGACCAGGAGGCCACTGAGACCAGGAGACCAGGAGGCCACTGAGGCCTGCAGACCCTGAGGCCCAACCATGTGGCCCACCTTGTCACTGAAGTGTGCTGTCTACATTCAACAGTGTTTGGGTGAGTCATGTTCGCAACTTTCTCTGTGCCCATAAGTGACCTGTCCAGGCAGCCCTTCCACATCCCCATGGTGCTGGGCCAGGAYCCTAGCGGCAGGCAGACCTGTGAGTCATGAGGGGGACTCGTCCCCAGGCTGGCCTGCACCCCACAGCTCCTCCAGCTCCGGRGGATGGCTCCTGGCCATCAGGGGACAGGGTCTGCAGTACCAGTAGTTCTGGACCCCCACAGGGCTCTGCGCGGCTGCACCTGGCAGTGTGCCCGGGCCTCTGCACCAGTTCCCTGTCTTGGGGTCTCCTCACAGRCACCGTTGTGAGCCCAAGGGCCAACAGGGGCCCTGCGGGTGCTGGGCAGGAGCTGACCAGAACCAGAGACAARCGCTCAGAAGCAGAGGCTGGTGAGCCCTCCACGGGCGCTCCTGCGGCTCTCAGCGCRGGGCACCGCTGCTCATCAAAGCCGAAGCCACCCGCCTGCGTTCCCATGTGCTGCCCTCGGGGACGCCAACTGCCCCGACGCAGCACAGGCTCCCGCTGCTGGAGACTGTTCTGGACGAGCCRGAGCCACCTCAGCCGGAGGAGGAGGGGACGGGCTGGGCAGAGCGCGAGAGTGGGAGGCCCTGGTCTGGGAGGGCTCGGGACACAGCTGGGCCGCAGCTGCAGCCTAGTCTGCTGGCCCCTTGAGGCTCCGCCCCGAAGGTCCCAGAGGGTCCCCATCATCCTGCCTGGCCTTGAAGGACAGCTCAGCCTAGTCTGGGCGGGACCACCAGGCCCGGGTGGTCCCTGGGGTGCCTGAACCCACCGGGGCCAACGCGGGAGGAGAGYGGCCTGTGGGGAGCATGGGGAGGGCCCAGGGGAGGCTCTGCTGCAGGCCAGCAAGGGGCCAGCATGGCACGAGCAGCTGGGGCCACCCTGAGGACGGGAAGGGGAAGGGGTGGGGGCTCAGGACACGGGGCCTGGCTCCGCAGGTCTAGAAGGGGAGGGCCTGCTGCCGATCTGAGACTGACCCTGGAGCAGGGACGGCCCAGGGCCCAGGACGTGCCCCTCTGCCGCATCCTGTCAGGGCAGGGGTGTCCTCTCTCCAGGTCTGCACTCAGAGACAGCACCGCCCACAGGCCTCACTGCTGGCCTGGCTGCTCCTCTTGTCCACCTCTAAAAGGGACAATGCCAAGACCGGGGCCATCTCCTCATTGCCCAGGATGGTCCACCCTGTCATTACACATCCCAGGACAGTCCACTCTGCCCCTCTCAGTCCCCAGGACACTCCATCCTGGGCCCCTGCCCTACCTGGCCCACTCCTTGAGGTCCCTGAGGGACAATGAGTGTCCTTCTTGAAGAGTCACCACAGCTGTGACCCGCTGGCCCCATGTCACATCTGGAATCCCAATCACAGCCACATCTAGAACAGAAGGTCAGGCTGGGACACCTGGGAAGTCCCCAGTGACCGCGCGGGTCAAGCAGCAGTGGGGCCTYGCAGAGAAGGTGGACAGCAGCCCAGCCACGTCCAGGCTCTGGAAAGCCCTACTGGCTCCCCTCGGGTGTGAGGACGGCTCCCCGTGGTGTCTCYGGGGTCTGCCCCCCCATACTGTCCTGCAGACCGGGTGTGCACCTCGTCACCTGGAAGCCAAACTGGGGTTCGGTGGGCAGTAGCTCAGGCCCGGCCCCAGCCTGTGCCCTGGTGAAGGTGCAGGAAGGACACCCCCCCCAGGAGCAGGGAAAGGTCCCCTGCAGCTGGCAAGTGCTCACCTGCGATGCTGGGGTGGGCCAGCAGGTGCCGCTCCACCTCCAGGGCGCTGACCTTGTAGCCTCCCRTCTTGATGATGTCCACTGAGGTCCGGCCTCGGATCCAGTACTTGCCATCCTTGAACACAGCAGTGTCCCCTGAAAAAGTGGGCTCTGTGACATCCCCAGGGCAACCTGGGTGCGCCTAGTCCCCAGGAGAAAACCCTGGGGCACCTGTGGTCACCTTGGCCACCAGCCCCTGGCACCCATCACTCACATCTCTCCACTGTCCTGCCCTGTGCCTGGGGGACCGCGGACACGGCCTCCACAGGGTCAAGCCAGTGCCCACAACATGCCCGGAGCCAGTGGGATCAGGCCTGTGACACCCTGCGCTGCAGGCTGCACGTGGGCCTGTCCCTGCCACTGCCATCAGTGGTGACTGGCCACTGTTAGTGAGGGGCCTTTCTGCACACGGCAGCACACCAGCTGGGCAGCTGACCCTGAGCAGGAGGCGTGAGGGACAGCCCTGACACTGACCCAGCCTTGTGCAGACAGACGAGAGCTGTGGAGCCGTCAGCCTGGCTAACCCACGTCGCCCTTCTGGCCTGTTGTGGGCCCCTGAGGACATCCCCGCCTGGTGCTGGGTGTGAACAGGCACATCCCACACCTGCAGGGTCACTGCCACACTTCCCTGACGAGAGGGGTCCTCCCGCCCTCGCCCCTGACCTCTGCCACTGAAACAGCCAGCCACTCACTTGTTCCTCCCCAGGATCCCATGACCACTGAGATCTGGATGCTCAGCCACAGGGGCAGCGGGGCCRGGTGCAGGGCCAGTGGAAGGCTGCGCCCTGCCCAGGAGGCTTCCTGGGAGGGGACGCTGCGTGTCTGCAGATGCATGCTGCCCCCAGTCTGCACAGGCTCCCCTCCCCGGGGCCATGAATGTCTCACAGCAGGTCACTGCTGACCCCCAGTACCATCCACCTCCTGCCAAGTTTGTGACCTGCAGCTTGGGGCGTGCTCCCATCTACCAAGCAAGATGGACGGGTGCCGGAGGGGCTCCAGGCTTGTTCATGGAGGAGGTGGGCCTGGAGGCCTCCCGTGCGGTGGCTCTGCACTGAGGGAGACATAGGAGCTGTGGGTGGCCTCCCGCTTGTCCCGGGACAGCCTGCCTGTGGGCACTGGCCAGCAGGAAAGGACGCAGGGTGGGCTGAGGGGATGGTGGACACACCCTGTCCTGGCTTGTTCCTGCCCCCAGCTCCACTGTAGCCTGGCTCCAGCCATGTCCCCAGGACCAGGCGGCCTCCCTGGTGACTGAACCCAAGGGTGCTCTGCCACCAGGCCACAGCCCGCCCCTTTTCCTTTTTGGGGGTTACTGGGGATTCAACCCAGGGGCGGTCTACCACTGAGCCACATCTCCAGCCCTTCTGAGACCGTGTTCAGTTGTTGAGGATGGCCTTGAATTTGCGATGCTCCTGCCTCGGCCTCTAGTCACTGGGATCCCAAGCATGGCCACTTGCTGGTCGAAGGCTTTCCCCAGCACACCACTGCCCCAGTGCTGGCTCTCCTCCCCACGGCTGCATCCTCAGGCTGCTCACTGTCCAGGGAGGTGCTGCCTGGCACTGGGGTCCCTGCAGGTAGGTTTCTGACCCGGCTCCCCTGGGCCTCTAGTCACCCAGATGCCAGTGTGGGGGACTGCGCGGGGGAGCCACTGTCCTGTCCTGGACTTGGCCTCCCCAGATGTTCCTGCCTGCCCCGAGGCCCCACCTACACCCTCCCCGTGAGGTCCTGACTCTCCTGGTGTCCTCTGTGGGGACAGCCTGGCACACACAGGCTCCCGAGGGCCCCCACACTCCTCTCACCCAGGCTGTGAGGGGCTCTGGGCGGCACCAACTATTGGTGGGCATGCCTTCCCTCTGCCCTCTGGGGGTGCCCCACACTGCCAGGCCTGAGGTTCCGCCTCTCACTTCTGAGACCAGGCACGCGGAGGTTTGGGGATGGGCAGGGAGGAAAGGCCTGGGAATCAGGGAGGGGAGGCCCTGTGTGGGGAAGGACCAGGACAACACTCTCACACAGAGGGACAGCAGGGGCGGCAGCACAGGACAGGGATGAGGGCGGGCGCAGGTGACGTAATAAAGGAATTGGGGACTCTCAGGACTCAGCTCTGCCCTCAGGAGCAAGGGCCGCCTGGTCCACGGCTCGGGCCATGAGGGGGAGCACCTTGTCGGACAGTGGGAGGAAGGAGTCAGGCATCAGCCTCAAAGCCTCCGAAGACCCAGAATTCAGAAGCTGAGGGAGAAGGCAGCCTGATGGCAGGGCTGAGCCTGTGGGTTTTCCTGGACCTGCCCTGCAGCGCTGGCCAGGAGCCAGAGGAGGGCCATGCGGGCCAGATGCAGCCTGGCATTCATGCAGCCTGGACACTGCGGTGCTACCGAGCAGGGCCCTGGGACGCGCACTGTGCGACGCACGGCCAGGCCAGGCCAGGCCAGGCCAGGAGTGGGGCGGCAGCTCTGCCTGGAGCTGGGGAGCAGCAGGAAGCCCAGTGGCTGGGTCAGACCCTCTGTTGACCTCTCAGGCACCTGCGAGGTCCTCTGCCCTGCCATGGGTCATGCTGGGCCTTCTGCAGACCTGTCCCCAGTGTGTACGCCCTGAGGTCACAGGGTCACAGCTTCCCATGGCTGGCAAGACAGTATGTGTCAACCTGCCCCGTGCCTCTAGCTGCCCAAGCATGTGCCTGGCCTCCACTGACCCCGGCTGGAGACTCAGCTATACTCTGCGGCTGGTGACCTGCCCTGGTGACCATGCAGGGCAAGCAAGTGCTGGACTCTAACCACGACTCAGGCTGGCAACCCTCTGCAACCCTTGCCCACACGGCTGCAGCCTCAGGTGACAGCTGGACTTCCCAGTTCTGCTGAACGGCCAGGTCACTGTGGGGTCAGATGTGGAGCTGGGGCCTGGCCTGGGGTCTCCTGAGTTGGGCTCAGGCTTTCTGGAGCAATTCCTTGGCTGTGGGCAGGGGCAGGGTCTCAGAAGAGGTGGCTGCTGGGCTCTTTCCAGGCCACCTGCCCTCGGCTTCCCAGTGCTGAGGTGTCCGCAACGAGTGCAGCAAAGGTGCGCATGCAAGGGTCAGGGGCTTGGGGATGGGGTGGCCTGCAGTGGTCAGAGGGTGCCTGGGCTGGAGGTGTGGCCTGGACCTGTGCTGGCCCATACCTGGGCCCTCTGCTCTCGCGTGATAGCTCTGTGGGGTGGCGCGCCCCCTGGAAGGGCGCAGCAGCTTACATAGCCAGACAGGTGCAGGACCAGGCTTCCTGTTGCCCACTGAAGAAACCCCATGTCCTCTGGGCCAGCAGGCCGGGGGCTCCACCTGGGTCCATGCTGCCCACAGAGGTCACGCTCCTTTCTGCCCAGCACACGTGGAGCCTTGGCCCAGATGCCCGCTCCTGCGGCCCTGGCTGGGTCTCGGGAAGCCTGGGGCCACCGTCTGTCTGCAGGGACTCCCCTGTGGTCTCCTCCCCGCCCCAGCTTCTCCGGGGGAACTTCCCATGCAGAGCCCCACCCGCTGACGGGAGAGGTGCCAAGCAGAACCTCACTCCCAGCCCAGGTCTTGGTGGGCCCAATGGTGCTGGCCATGACCTCCACAGGTCTGCACTCACCATGGCTCCGGGCCAGAGCACAGGGTGAGGTCCACAGCACAGCTGCAGACTGACACAGGCCAGGGCAGCAGTGGCCTAGCAGCCAGCCACACGCTGCAGGGTGAAAACGCAGGGGGACCTGCACGTGGTGCCCACAAGCCTCCATGTGCCGCCACTGGGCTCGGTGCTGGGGGTCAGGGCTGCTCTCTGCAAGAGCAGACGCCTCCATCCTCTCCCTGAGCAGGGCCCTGCCCCACCCCCCTCACGCACCCCTGTAGCTAGGCTGGGACCTGGGACACTCACTGTCCACTCCCTACCCTGGCTGGCTACACCCAGGAGCAGCATTCATGGTTTTAAGATCCCACCCACCCTGCTGCAGCGACACTGGCAGGGACCCTCTCTCCTGAGCCCAGGTCACTCTTGAATGAGCCCCAGAATGAGCAGCCATTTGCCCACGGCACCAGCCAGGCAGAAGCCTCCACAGGCTCCCAGCTCCTGGGCTCACCCTGCCTGGGCGACAGGTAAGCGTCGGGTCCTCTGAACAGCCTGGGGGAGTCTGGAGAAGCTCGGGGACTTGTTCCAGGGACCCTTCTGTTCCTGACTGCAGACGTGGAGACCGTGGGGGCTGCGGGGAGCTCCTTGCTCATTCCCAGGGCAGAGACGTCCCGGCGGGCCCACGGAGGCCACCGAGGAGCTGGCAGACTGGGCCCTTCCCAAGCAAGGGACAGGAGGAGGGGCTGGCCAGGGAAAGGGTCAAGTCTAACCTACCCTGATGTCCACTCGGTATCAGCTCCCTGCAGGAGCGCAGCTGCAGCTGACTGCGGCTCTCGTGATGCAGGCTGCGTSCCTAATGGCCTGTGACAAAGGCGTGCGCCCCCAGGCCTCACCCCCCAGAGCCAGGCCCCGGAGCTCACTTGCTGTCTGTGGTACCCAAGTGAAACCGAGCTGAGCGTGAGTCACCTTCTCCACGGACACCGCTCCAACGGCCCACCTGCGCTGCTCCTCATGCCGCCAGGGCACTGGGCCCTCCCTCAGCCGCACGCCCCACACGTCACCCAGAGGCGCTGGGCCCTCCCTCAGCCGGACACTCTGTGCATGTCACCCAGAGGCACTGGGCCCTCCCTCAGCTGGACACCCTGTGCATGTCACCCAGAGGCACTGGGCCCTCCCTCAGCTGGACACCC